TTTGTGTAAAATCATGACAACCATGAATCTGAGAGTCCAAGCTGGGAACAGTGCAACTTCCTGCAGCAGAAGCCAAAAGCGAGAGGTAAGAGCTCTCTTGGTCTGTGTGGAGCACTACTCTGGAACTCCATAAGCTTCTTTTTCAACCACACCTGCACAGAGATCAAAACCACCACCACTACCTGTCTCAGCTGTGTCCACATGCTAAGAGAGACACAGAAGAGAATTCAGCCTCTTCATTCAGCCGCAGTCAGAAGTGAGCCCATTCTTGCCATTTCAGACTTTCACCTCAAATGGCCACTACGCTTTCAGGAATGTGATTTGAGCCACACATACCTAAACCCACGTTTGAGCTATGAGCGGACTCTGTACCATGTGTTTATGTTCATTCACCTGGACACAGAGTCACTGTGCCTGCCTACTTTGATAGAGTTCAGAGCCAGTCACTGGCCTTCCTTACTGGCACATACTACATCTACATTCACCATCACAAAACTGGGCTTGTGAAAGGTAAGCAGACAGTATATTCTTTCAACCACAGCAATAAGAAAAATGATCTTATAGTGGAGGAAGAAATAAATCATAACACATTCTAGAGCCAAATATAAATTACTTTGGGACTTTTTTGTTTTATAGACTTTGGGGGAAAAAACAAGTATTACTTTGTCTCTACATGACATACATAAACTCTCTAATAAGAAAAAGACCAAACTGAACTGGATTCTGAACAAAGTCCTATGTTAAGTGATAGCTGTCCATTCTAGAGAATAAAATGTTTACTATAAGCCAGTAATGTTGTTTAAAAACTGGCAAATTCATTTTTAACTGAGGATTTATTTATAGTGCTTATTAACTATTTATTTATTAAAATAACATATTCAAGACCATATCTAGGATATACTAACTTCTAGTATAAAAAAAAGACCAACTGCTCCAACTTACCCTGAATTCATACTCTATTAAACTTCCCACTTCATCTTCATATTTCATAGCTTGCTCACCAACAACTGTACCTCCAAAATATACCTGGGAAGGTTTAGCAACTCTGTTAAATTGAAAAACATCAGTTTTTAGTGATGCTTATAAATGGTTCTTTCAAACATTGATCTGTTATGCTAAACACAAACACTCACCCAGAGACGGATAAAAGCAGTTCAATAACCACTTTTGCTTTAGCTGTAATTGAAGCCAAATTATCTTGATTGCTTGTTCTGAAAATGAATAGGAAACAATAGGGTTTTATTTTAGCAGTCAGTTTTCTCATTACAATTACATTTCTATGAGTTAGATCAGGGCCAATTCATTGACTGCCTGTGTTTTCATAAAATGATTCTGAATGGAAGGGTTGAAGTAAATCTTACGTTTCCAACTTCAGATTAATATCCAGATCAGTCGTGTCAAAGGTGACCTCAGTTGTACTTAAAATCAAATAAAAAGTAACCTAAAAAAATATAAATAGCTGTTAACACAGGCCAAGCATACAGACACTGGAAAGGTATTTAAAACAGTAAAATACAATTCGTGAAGGCATCACCTACACTGGAATTTCTTTTAAAAGGATTTCCGAGCTCACAGTCTGCTTGCGACCCGTTCTGGTTGGCAACACAACTCAACTGTTTCTCCTATAACAGGAAAATGCACTAGGTCACATATGTTCGTTATTTGCCACGTGGTGTTGGTTTTTT